TTACTGGCATTAAGCCAAGTTTCACATCGTCTACAACAATACCTACCTACGCTGTTGGTTTTTCTTACGTAAGAGTAAAACCTTACTTTTACCTACATTGAATTTCATTTTGTTAGATAGGGCCCAATGTTCAAGTCTGTTGAGCTCCATCTGGATCTTGAGCTTGCCTTCTGGAGTGTTGGCTATTCCTGACAGCTTAGTGTCATCTGCAATTTTGATGAGTTCCCCTTCTATTTCCTTGTCTAGATCATGTATGAAGATATTGAAGAGTACTGGGCCTAAAATGAAATCTTGGGGTACCCCACTGCTTATTCCTCTACATGTAGACCAGAAATGGCATTCAGCAGGTTCTGATGAGTTCTGGAGAACCGGTAGCGGAAATTTTGAGTAGTTAGGAGAACCGGCAAATACCACCTCTGGCTGGCCCCGCCCCCATCTGTTCTCTGCTTCCCAATTCCCAGCTGATCGGGAGGAAATGGGGATTTTGCAGTAACCTTCCCCTGGAGTGGGGTGGGAATGGAGATTTTACAGTATCCTTCCCCTGCCATGCCCACCAAGCCAAGCCACGCCCACCAAGCCATGCCCACAGAACCGGTACTAAAAAAATTTGAATCCCACCACTGATGTAGACGTAGTACCGTTAAGGACTACTGGTTGAGTACAGTTTGTCAGGCAGTTACAAATCCATCTGGTGGTGATGCTGTCTATCCAGGGGTGGGATTGAAAAATTTAACAACCGGTTCGCTGCTTGGTTGCTGGGTGGGCGTGGCCATGGGGGGTGGCATACGTGGCCTCCTGCACCACGGGGGGGTGGTGTTTGTTTTTGCCCTCCTGAGGCTCTGGAGGCTTTCTTGGAGCCTCCAGGGGGGCAAAAACGTCTCCCCTGGGCACCAGAGGCCCTCTGGAGGCCGAAAATGGGCCCATTTCCGGACTTCTGTTACTTCCAGTAGGCCTGTTTTTCGTCGTCCTAGAGCAGTGATGGCTAACCTTTTTGCCGTCGCGTGCCAAAAGCGTGGGGGTCGTGGGGGGGGGTGCCCACATCCATAATTCAATGTGCCCCGCCCTCCCGCCCATGCGCACATGACCTCCCCACACCTTCCCCTGCTTTTGGCACGCGATGGCATGGTGGGCCCAGTAGGCCAGTTTTTCCCCCTCCCCAGGCTCCAGAGGCTTTCTAGGAGCCTGGGGAGGGCAAAAACAGCCTTCCCCATCCCCCCGGAAGCCTTCCGGAGGCCAGAAACAGCCAGTTTCCCGACTTCCGGTGAGACTGGAAGGCCTGAAAATTAGTTGGCCGGTGCGCGCATGCGCTCTGGAGCTGAGCTAGGGCAACACTTGCGTGCCCACCAATATGGCTCCGCGTGCCATCTGTGTCACCCGTGCCATAGGTTCGCCATCATGGTCCTAGAGCATGCGCGCAGTCCCTGCACTTACCTCGCATCCAAAACGGGCTGTGTGGAGACTCCTGGCAGGGGAGGAGTGGGCGGGGTCAGCCAGTCCTTGTAACTACTGATTCAGCAATCCAGATTAAAATTAACATCCAGTTTGCCCAAACCGGACCGATCTGGCTGAATCCCATCCCTGTGTCTATCCCATCTTTTTCTTTTTTTTTAGCTTACCAAGAAGTAGTCTACTTTGTCAACTGCCTTACTGAACCCAAGTATACTGTGTTCAGTGCATTTCGCTGGTCCACTAATTTAGTCACTTTGTCAAAGAATGAAATAAGATTTTATGTTTGACAAATCAAATCAATTAAACATGGTGTGAACTCAGGGCATAAACTGTAATGGGATGTGGAAATGGCCTTGAGGAATGAAGGGAAGAGATGGTGCCTAGGAAACAATCAGATAAGAGTGTTAGGTGCCCTCAGTGACTCAATGGTCAGAGGGAGAAACTTAGGAAGGACTGTCCCTAATTGTTCAGTTGCTTGAAAATGGTGACAGGAGATTTACACCTTCAGATTTGTAAGATTAGGTTAACCTGGCCTTACAATAAAGTAGAATTAGCTCACTTAGTCATGTTTTCTGACTGGTTCATCTGGAAGGGTAGACATAAAACAAGAGTTATGGGACAATGAACTCTGTGTACCCAACCAGTTGTGATTTATTCATTAAACCATGTTTTCAGTAATGTGGATTGTTTATCAGTTTCTGTAGCCATCCATCTCTGTCAATGACTCTTAATTTAAACTAAGTTTGTTAAATTTAAATCAAGTTTGCTGCCTAGCTTTCTGAGACTTGCTCTTCAGACAGCCAGAACAGATGTTAAGTGTTAAAATTTGGAGCATGGAGAGTCAGTTGCACGTCTAACTAGGATTGTTATCGCAAGCATAGAATTAGGTAGACCTCCTTTGTAAATTTGGTAGATTTTGCTCTCTGAAAAGGTAGGATTTAATAAATTAAAGTGCCTTTCACTTATCAGCTGACCTTGAGGGTTTTTTTCCCCAGCCAAATTTCTTAATCTTTGGATGCTTATTTGAAGGATGTTAATTCGGAGCACATCCCGCCACAGCCTGCGGTAAAAAAAAAAAAACCCAGGTGCAGGTTGTTTTGTAAGCACCATGTGAATAATTTTTGAAACCCCCCCCCCTTACGCTGTTTCATCTCCGCCTGTAATAAGACCCAGTACGGTGGTATCGTCTGTGTAGTTTGAGTCAGTCTGGCTTGATGGCCAGAGGGCTGTATTGAACACGCAAATATATGTATATATTTTAAAAAGTTTTTTTATTAATAATACAAAATTAAAAAAACATTGGACATAGATATGACATCACTGGTTCCAAACACCTTCCGTCATTTTACAATAATATTAGTACTCATATAAACGTATAGTTCTTAAGCTTTGTTCACTATTTAAGCATAATATGATATGATATTAATAATTTTCCCCTTATTTCTGTATATTTATCTATCTCTTAAACATGCATTTATCTATAATAACATCTATATTTTTGTTCTAACGCTATACATTTGTCTTGGCTACCCTCTTGTTATCTATCCAATCATAAAATTGTGCTCAGATTTTGTAGCACTTAGTTTCGCTTTTTTCCTTGAGTTCCAAAGTGAGTCTTGTCCATTTCTGCGCAGTTAAAGATGACTTCTTCGAAATCTCGGTGCTTCTTATACTCCGGTGCGTCTTAAAGTCAGAAAAATAATTGTAAGTCAAGGACTACTTATATCTCAGTCCAACCTAATCTACAGGGTGGCCTTTGTGGGGAGCACATCTTGTACTGCATTTAAATATAAGCACATACCAAAATAAAAATACTTCCCAGGCAGATGTATGTATAAATCCTCAATTTTGTTTCCCCTCCCCTTAGTTGTGGTTTCCGTAGGACCACATTACTGGCAATAGAAATGAGGGTGTTTGTTTGTTTTTTTAAAGGGAAAACAAGCAAGTTAAGACTCCGCTTAGGACTTTGGCATTAAGCTGTAATGTGGGTTTGTTATTTTTGGGTTGGGTTTAGCCTTTTGTATAATCCCAGCCAACAGAAGTTCAAAGGAGTCACCAGCTTGGTTCAGGGTTTATAAGAAACGTGGCTAGCCACAGCAGCTGCGTCGCTGGGATCAAAGGTTTTGCAATCCGAAACTTGAATTGAGCAAGGTTGAACTTCCATCCAGCCAGAAAAGAAAACTCATTTCAAAATGAGAAAAGAAATGACTGGGGCATAAGGCAAGAAATCTTGGTGTGGGAATCTGCTTCATTCAAGATGATTCAGGTAATCCTCGATTTACAGCCACTTGTTTAGTGACCTGTAACTGTTTTCCATACTTTTTTTTTTATAAAGTTTTTATAAAAACATACATACAATACATTTTTTCTGAACAGAGTATTGGCCGGTTCACGAATTTATATAATCTTTAGTCATCTCCAGCACAATTTAAATATTCACTTTTTGCCATCGTGTTTATTCTCTGTAGTTTTTATAAACCAATATTACCCTTCATCCTAATCTCTAATCTTAATAAGATTCAATTTTTCCCTTTTCATCTCTAAATTAAATCCTTTAAATTTAAAATCTCACAACATAAGATAATCTCAATATTTCTTTAAAACCCCTTATTATAATCATAAACATTTTTCTTTTATCAAATAATACAATCCAACATTTTAATAAAGCTCAGTTAAGTATTAAATATCAAGACCTTATTGTTCCAACAAGCTGGGCTGGCCTAAACATGAATTTTAATGGTTGTTCTGGTTTTTTAATAAGACGGAGGCCAAATTATTTAATATATTTTTAAATTGTTTTTTAATTTTTTGTATATGTGTGTTTTAGTGTTGGCTGGGCACTGCCCTGAGTCCTTTGGGAGAAGGGCGGTATAAAAATTTAAATAATAAATAAACAAATAAAATAAATATAACATTCCAATTGTTCATTTCTTTTTCTATTATTTTTCTTAAATTTTAACTCCAATTTTTGATTACAATCAAAAATATTCCACCTTTTACAATTTTGTATATTAAACTTATTGAAATGTCTAAATCTTATTTGTTCCAAATAGTACAATCCAACATCTTAATAAAGCTCAGTTAAAGCAGATAACATTCCAATCATTCATTTCTTTTGTAGAAAAGAAATGTTTTCCACACTTAATGACCTTTTGCCGCATCCCCAATGGTCACATGATCAAAATTCAGACTCTTGGAAACTGGCATGTACTTATGACAGTTGCGGTGTCCTGGGGCTCATGTGATCCCCCTTTTGCGACCTTCTGACCATCAAAGTCAACGGGGAAGCCAGATTCACTTACCAGCAGGTGTTACTAATTTAATAACTGCAGCGATTCACTTAACAACTGTGGCAGGAAAGGTCGTAAAATGGGGCAAAACCCGCTTAACGACTGTTTTGCTTTGAGATGGAAATTTTGGGTTGAACCGCGGCCGTAAATCGAAGATCTTCTGTAATTTTGGCTATTGGAGGGCGTCTTCTGATGCATGCTTTTTAAAACAAGTTTCTTAACTTTTGTGTCTCTTTTTTTTCCTCTCTTCTCCTCGCCCAGCGGTGATCCTGCCTACCATTTGGGCCTATCTGCAAAAGCTTAATGCTGAACCATACTACCTGGGCCTGGCTCTCTCTGCCTTTAGCTTTGCTGGATTAATCACAGGTCCCTTCTTTGGATATTGGTCCGATCGCACACACCGAACCAAGGGGAGCATCATGTTTGCCAATTTGTTTCAGATAGCAGGTGAGTGGATCCTGCCAGGGGAGGTTGGCACAGGTCGCCCTCACAAGATAATTTGCCATCTTCTGTCCCTTCAGACCTCTAAGGTCCCTTTGCCTGCCTCTCTGTTGTGATCTAGGTTTACTGAGTCATTACAATACACAATTAGTCCCAAAAAAAACTATTTTATTGTAACAGCTGAGAATTATGTTCATTCCCAGCTGAGTCCCAATTAGTTGCAAAGCAAATCCTTCGGAAGAAATCCTTCGGGATAATCACCAACCTTTATCTTCTTTGACACCCTGCCAAAGGCCTTACTTGGCAAAGCCCCACAGAGTTCAGAAACAAACAAGAGATGCCGACTGGAAACAGAATTAGCAACATTGCTTTCCTGCAGAAAGGCCCAAGTGCCTTTGTTTCTCTTTTAAGCCTTATGGGAGGGCCCAATCATCTCCTGGCCTTACTCCCGAGTTGTCCCTTTTGCTTTAGCTGCTCTTGCCTTCTGGCAGCTCTGCACATGCGTGCACTAGGAACAAGCTCCTGTTCCTCTGCCTCTCTGCTGTTCGACTCTGGGGGCTCTGGAGTCCGCGCATCACTCCAGGATGGCCCTGGCCCCATCTCTGCCTTCGACACAGAGCCCTCCAGGACTGGCCCACGTTCTTCCTCAGCCTCCTTACTGTCAGCCAGCTCCGCAGGCTGCTGGCGTACCACAACACTCTCCTCTCCATTCAAGAATGTAGAACTCTTGAAACATAGGATCATCCAGCAACGGAGAGGGAGAGGGAGAAGGGGGCGGCGTTTCTGTGTGGAACTCTTTCCTCAATGATCGCGGCCTCCACTGCTCCCTTCTCCCTCTCTGCTGCTGGGCGATCCCATGCGAAGAAGGGGGCTAGCAGAGGGGAGAGTGCGAGGTTGCTGCTTCTGGGATGAGGGGACCTGGGAAGCTTCTGGGTCCAGCTTATCCAGCTTCTCTTCCTCTCGCAGCCAGCTTTTCAGTCTAGCTTGACGCAATCTCTCTCTCTCCCTCCCTCTCTCTCTCTCCCTCTCTCTCTCTCTCTCTCTCTCTCTCTGTTCTGTCCCCGTACCACCCCCACACCCCCACAGACGGCCTGGAGTTAATAAGCCACACAACAAAACTCTTTGAAGATAAAGCTGGCAGCAACCCAGTGGCTAGCTGCCAATTCAGACTTTACTCACACAAAACAAAGATTAGACTGCAAGCATTCCAATAAAACAGGCAGAGTTTCAACAATACAAGGATTAATCCAAATGCAGTCCGATAAAGCAGGCAAAGTCCAGTAACGCAGAGATCATGGATTATTTCCAGTTTTTGCTCGTCACAAACTGAACCGGCCACCACACCCACATTTATACCCTGTGGGGTGTGGTCCAGTGACTCAGCTAATCTCTGGCATGCCTTCCCCTCTGCTGCGCACGCTTCTCCCTGCGCCTCTGCCAAGGGTCCAGCCAGCACTTATCTTCCTCGTCGCTGTCCACCTGTGGCTGCGGGGACATGCTTGGCTCTGAGCCTATCATTTGGCCTTCGGTGTCCTCCGGAGGCATTGCCAGAGAGGAGGGTCCTGGAGAGGGAGGCCTTGCCAACTCCTCTCCCTCACTCTCAGAGTCTGCATCTGTCGATAGCCCAGGCTCAGGCAACGGAGCCACAACACTCACGCACACACAAACAGGTTGGATCTTTCTTTCCTCCTGCCCCCCACCCCACCGGAGATCCCTGGATTCCCTCCCCAACCCTGCCTGTCCCATACAGGTACCACCCGCACAAGTGATGTAGAGTTGGCCACGCCCACTCAGTCTCATGACCCCACCCACCCACCCATGCCCACCCACCCAGTCATTAGGGCAGAGAACCGGTTGTTAAAAAATTTGGAGCCCACTACTGGACACATCTACCCATCATCCACTTGTTCCCCTGATCATAGCGTGAGAGAGCTGTTTTGCTGTGCGCAAAATCCCAACCAGCATCATGCTGTCCATGAACGGTTCAGCATTAGGTGCCGTCAACCTTGGTGGCATCGTGGGCCGCCTCACTCCAGGTGGGGTTCTCGTCCTGTGACATATGGCTGAGCTCCACCAAGCCATGTTTCTTCTAATCTTTCTTACCGTTGTCTTTTTTTTTCAGGAAACTTCATGTACTTCGTTGGCGGCTCCAAATGGATGCTCCTCAGCAGCCGACTAGTAGCAGGTAAGGACAGGAGAAGGATTATCCTTTCCGAGTCTAACTCAACTCAACCCAACTCAGCTAATTGAGCTTTGAGGTACAAATAGGAGAACTTCCTTCACTTTTTCCTTAATTTGGAGGCTTAGGTTTCTGCAAGTCCATCAGCCTTTTGCTTCTCTTCTTTCCTAGGTAGAGGCAGATGTAGGATCTCCTGCTTGGGCAAGGGGTTGGACTAGATCAGTGGTTTGCAACCTTAAACACTCAAAGAGCCATTTGGACCTGTTTCCCACAGAAAAGAAAACTCTGGGAGCCACAAAACCCTTCCCGTGCCTGACTATTTTTTGAGCTGCCACAAAACTAGCATATGTAGTTGAATTAAACCTTCTGTTTTCTTCTGAAACTTTTTTTGGATTTATCCATGGTTGGCCTACCGAGGGTTGAAAAGCTCAATAAATCATGTGCCGGCGAGTGTCGCACATTGGCGGTTGTGACGCATATTTTGAGTGACAGGGAGCAGCAGCAGAGGGGTGAAAGAGCCACATGCGGCTCCAGAGCCGCAGGTTGCTGACTCCTGGATTAGATGACCTGCAAGATCCCTTCCAATTCTGTTAATCTGTTAATCTGTTTTGTGCACAGCAAAACTGTTCTCTCATTATGATCAGGGGAACAAGTGGATTATGGGTAGATGTGTCCAGTGGTGGGCTCCAAATTCCTCTGTCTACACAATTTACTAAATCTCTTAGGTAAAAGGCTTAGCAAAAAAATATTAGTGTGCTGTTATAACCTTGTTTTGCAATTTAGCCTGTCGGGCCAAGATAGCTTATTTGGTTAGTCTTTACTTCTGTGTGTACTGTGCAAATAAAATAAAATAAAATGTGTTAAAGAGTATTACACAAGGAGCCTGAGTGGTGTAGGAGGCTAATGCCTCCTAAGGCAGCATTTAACATCCAACTGCCTGCAATTACTGCGAGTTCAATTCTCCCCAGGCTCAAGGTCAACTCAGCCTTCCATCCTTTCTAAGGTGGGTAAATTGAGGACCCAGTTTGTGGGGGCAATAAGCTGACTTTGTATAAATATACAAAAGGATGAAGGCTATTGCTTAACGCATTGTAAGCCGCCCTGAGTCTCCGGAGAAGGGCGGCATATAAATCAAATTAAAAAAAAAAAAGTACAGGACTACAATTATATTTTGGATTTGTAGCTTTTAGCTGATTTTGTAATATTTGAAATTTATTACACTTGGTCTTGTTACCCTTGTTCTAAATTTAACAAATAGAACTGCATCAGAAGAAAATATCTTGCCCAGCCAACCAGATATTAACTGGACAAATTGATTGATTGATTGATTCGATTTATATGCCGCCCTTCTCCAGAGACTCAGAGCGGCTTACAATACGTTAAGCAACAGCCTTCATATTTTTGTATATACCTGCTTAATAGGGCTTTCGGCCCCCCCCAAGCGGTGTTCTTTTTTATCCAAAGTCAGCTTATTGCCCCCACAATCCGGGTCCTCATTTTACCTACCTCGGAAGGATGGAAGGCTGAGTCAACCTTGAGCCTGGGGAGATTTGAACTTGCAGTAATTGCAGGCAGCTGGTGCTATTTAACAGCACTTTAGTCTGCTGCGCCACCAAGGCTCTTGGTGGTATATTGAAATCTTGAAGGTATCAATCTTCTTGTGCCATATCCATCATTCGATGTTAGCGATAATATTGGCGATCCTATTTTTATTAACAGCCACACAAAAAAGTGCTGCTGAGTTTTGTCCAAACCGGTCCCTTAGATTTTGAAGCCATGATGTTCTCCTTCTGCCTGAACCTCGTTTGCCTTCAATCTTTCCTTGAAGGATTAAGTGAAGGATGCTGTATTTTTCCGGGTGTCGCATCACATGTCCAAAATACTTTCGCTTTTTTATGGTTTTGATGATTTCTCCCTTGGCTTTTCCAGTCGGCTTATCACCTCCTCATTTCTGATTTTGTCAACCCAATTTATACGTAACAGCCGCCTGTAAATCCACATTTCAACTGCTTCTAGCCTCTTCAAGTGGCCTTCTGTCGGAGTCCAACTCTCCACTCTGTGGAGCAGGATAGAAAAGATGTAGCACCATCAAGCCTGATTTTTAATCTTAGGTGTCAAAGTGTCAGACAGGGAGGGCTAAATTGGGTAATGTGCTTTGGGTGGGTGGATGAGCAAAGGTTTACCATTCTTTCCTTTGCCCACGGACTTTTCTGCCTCTCCACTACAGGTGTGGGAACTGGAGCAGGTGCCTCCATCTTTGGATACCTCACCCGTTCTACCACTTCGCAGGAGAGGTCCAAGGTCTTTGCTGCCGTCATGGCATGCCGCCAGGTCGGGCTGATTATTGGTAAGGACTCTGCTTTTGACAGACCCTCCCCCACAAGAACTGACATCCTGTGTCAACACTTTTGTGGCCCGTACGCGGCCTGGGCAGCTAGTAGCTGATTCCAACAGTGAGGAGGCTGGTGTGGTGCTGCGCCAGCAGCCTGTGCAGCTGACACTCGAGTCAGACAATGAGGAGGCTGGAGAAGATGTGGTGCCAGAGGCGGGGATTCAGCCAGGGCCTTCAGAACCTCCAGAAGCTCCCATAAGTGAAGAGGAAGAAGAGGAGGAGCCTCTTCTCGATGCACGGGTGCGTAGAGGTGCCAAAAGCCAGGAGTGGTTCCTCAGGAGGAAGTCTCCTCGAGAGTAAGGCTTGGGGCTAATTGGCCACTCCCTTAGCCTATTTAAGGAAGGACGACGACAGATGCAATTTGCAGGGAACAACTTCGTTCAATCTCCTTCGCATCCTGATCTTAGTTCTCTTATCAGTTTCCTGCAAATTGCTTCTGGGCTTTCTGCCAACCCTAGTAAGATTATGATTTTTTATTCTTTGGATTCTTGTAGGCTGTTAAGAAAGTTAATTAACAGCCTTTGCTTGAAAAAGACTGATTTAATTTAGTAAACTAAGGTTTGTACAGACTTTGTGTGTGCTGCGTTCTTTGGGGTCCGTAGCTGGGGCAGAACAACACTGCAAGTTTGCATTGCAGTACAGGTAGACTTGCAACATTTCATTTAGTGACCATTCAAAGTTACAACGACACTGGAAAAGTGACTTATGAGGCGTTTTTCACACCATTGACCATTGCAGCATCCCCATAGTCACGTGATCAAAATTCAGACACGTGGCAACTCATATTTATGACGGTTGCAGGGTCCTGGAGTTACGTGATTGCCTTTTGTGACCTTCGGACAAGCAAAGTCAATGGGGAAGCCACTTAACAACATTGGTGGCGCAGTGGTTCGAATGCAGTACTGCAGGCTACTTCTGCTGAGTACAGTTTGGCAGTTAGAATCCCACCAAGCTCAAGGTTGACTCAGCCTTCCATCCTTCCAAGGTCGGTAAATTGAGGACCCAGATTGTTTGGAGTAATATGCTGACTTTGTAAACCTTTTAGAGAGGGCTGTAAAACACTGAAGCGGTATATAAGTCTAAGTGCTATTGCTAACAACCGTGTTACTAATTTAACCATTGCAATGATTCACTTAACAACTGTTCTGCCCCAGTTACGGACCCCAAAGACCGCAGTACACACAAAATCCATTCAAACCTTAATTTACTAAATAAACCAATCTTTTACAACAATGGCTGTTAATTAACTGCATTAACAGCCGCCAAGAATTCAAAGAATAATAACTGAAAGCTTAATGTGGTTGGCAGAATGCACAGAAGCAATTTGCAGGAAGCTGATAAGATAAACAAGACAAGACATGAAGGTATGTGAATGAAGTTGTTCCCTGCAAATTGCTTCAGTCAGCGTTCCTCCTTAAATAGGCTAAGGGAGTGGCCAATTAACTCCAAGCCTTACTCTCGAGGAGACTTCCTCCTGAGGAGCCACTCCTGCCTTTTGGCAGCTCTGCGCGCCCGTGCATCAAGAAGAGGCTCCTCCTCTTCGTCCTCTTCACTTAAGGGAGCTTCTGGAGGTTCTGAAGGCCCTGGCTGAATCCCCGCCTCTGGCACCACATCTTCTCCAGCCTCCTCACTGTCCGACTCGGGTGCCAGCTGCACAGGCTGCTAGCGCAGCACCACACCAGCCTCCTCGCTGTCGGAATCAGCTACTAGCTGCACAGGCTGCTGACGGGCCACAACAACAACTATGGCAATGAAGGTTGTAAAATGGGGGCAAAACTCACTTAAGAAATCTTTCTCTTAAAGAGGGACCAACAGCCATTTTGGGCTTGACCGTTGTCGTAAATCAAGGACTACCTGTGTTTTGTCACTGGCCTTCTTTTCATCCTCTGAGAGGATTTCTGGAAGGAGAAAATAAAAATAACTAAAAATATAGAAGATCGGTTATGTAGGCCCTTTACCAGCGCTGGATTTTATTCAGCCAAGGCAGTTTGTGGATGAAATTAAAATTGGCATGAAAAAGGCCAGTTTTGGAAGATAGACTTCTCTAACGTTGGAACTTCAGAACAGTTTTTAAACAAGCACATGTGCTGTTTCGATGAAAACACAAATATTTTTTCTTTAATTTTGAAGACGGCAGCAGAAATAGCAACTGGAAAGAATTATTTATATGCTCTAAATTGCTTGGAAGTTGTAGAACAAGTTGAGGAACCTATAGCTGCCCAGATGTTGAAATAAATCTTAGTGGTTGCATCCATCCTCACAGTCTGAAAAGCACAAAAACACCTTCAATTTTCAAGTAAGAGCTTTCCGTGAAGAGTTAGACCAAAATGCATCTCAGAATTGGGATTAGGGCTCAATTCAGCCAGAAAACGTAACTTAGCATTAGCTAAGCATTACCCAATAGCATTAGCATAGGAAATGACTGGACAGGGGAAAAATTTAATCTTTTACATTGGGAGCACCACAAGTTGTCAGCGTTCCAAGTAATACACCCACAGCAAACAGAACTCCGAGATAGGTAGATTCAGTTTTATTTGGAGATACCATATTGGCACAGACTGGTGAAAAACGACTCTGAATGTTCCCGTGGTTTTCACCTAATTAAAAGTAAAAGTTTTCCCCCTTCCCCAAACAATCAGTCACATGGTCCAATCAAGGTGTTGTCCGGTTGCCTGGTAACTTCACTCCTCCTCTCTTGGACCACCTGTGGGAATGACCTTGGTTCCCAAGAGAAAGTATTTTGTTTTGGCTACAAACCCCAGCTATCTCTATTCCCCACTCCCTATCCCTCAGCTCTAGTGTGGTGTGGCAACCGTCAGAATTTAAACCGACCAGAACGAACAATGTTGCTTCCTGCAAAGGCTCATGTCCCTTTGCTCCACCTTTACGTCTTATGGGAGGGGCCAATCATCTCCTGGCCTTACTCCCAAGTCGTCCCTCTTGCTTTAGCTGCTCTTGCCTTCTGGCAACTCTGTGCATGTGTGCACTAGGTTCCTCTTGTTCCTCTGCCTCGCTGACGTTAGACTCTGGAGGCTCTGGAGTCCACACATAACGCCCAGATGGCCCTGGCCCCAACTCTGCCTTCAACGCAGAGCCTTCGTCCAACCTTCCCCAGACTCCAGGACTGGCCCATGTTCCTCCCCAGCCTCTTCACTGCCCGACTCTGCTGCCAGCTCTGCAGGCTGCCGGCGGACCACAACACCACCACTAAGAAGAGTCTTTTTCTTGTAGCTGCCATCCTATGGGGAAAGGAAGATTGATTGATTGATTGATTGATTATTTATTAGTTTGATTTATATGCCACCCTTCTCCGGAGACTCAGGGCGGCTTACAATGCGTTAAGCAATAGCCTTCATACTTTTGTATATACCTGCTTAGTAGGGCTTTTGGCCCCCCCTAAGCAGTGTTCTATTTTATACAAAGTCAGCTTATTGCCCCCACAAACCGGGTCCTCATTTTACCTACCTCGGAAAGATGGAAGGCTGAGTCAACCTTGAGCCTGGTGAGATTTGAACTTGCAATAATTGCAGGTAGCTGGCAGCTAAATACTACTTTAACAGTAGTTTAGTTCACTGGGCCACCAGGCTCAGTTTGATTGTTTGATTGATTGATTGATTGATTGATTAAATTTCTATATAGCAACTCTGGGTGGCTTGGAGGTTGAAGGAAGTCACTGCAGAAGATACTAATGTCCTGGCTGGTAACTTGCATGCCTTCTTCATACACGTGTTCTGTCATATTTGCTTCCAGGACCAGCTTGTAACCTTTTCCTGCGTCTCTGCAATTTCCATCTGGGGCCTTTCGTGGTCAATAAGTTTACATCCCCTGGGGTAAGTCACAAGAATTTGTTCTTTTTGGAAGCATTATTTATTTATTAAATGTATATATGCTGCCCCGTCTCACTCCGCAAAGGGTTTGTTTACAATTAATATCACAAATTAGCCATAGCACGTAGATTTATATACCGCTTCACAGTGCTTTACAGCCCTCTCTAAGTGGTTTACAGAGTCAGCATATTTGCCCCCAACAATTTGGGTCCTCATTTTATTTATTTTATTTATTTATTAATTTTATTTCTATACTGCCCTTCTCCCAAAGGACTCAGGGAGGTGTACAGCCTAATTAAAAACACAGAGACAGACAAAATTTAAAAATAATTAAAATTATTAAATAATAGGCCCAATTTATAAAACCCCAAATTTAAAATCCCATTTAAAACCAATTAAAATCTTTACATTGATAGCAATTAAAATCTTTACATTTTACCCACCTCAGAAGGATGGAAGGCTGAATCAACCTTGAGCCGGTCAGAATCAAACTGCCAAATTGCTGGCAGCCAGCAGAAGTCGCCTGCAGTACTGCATTCTAACCACTGCGCCACCATGGCTCCTGTTAATGTTAAAATATTAATAAGATTAGTTACAAAACTACCCTGTTTCCCCAAAAATAAGACATCCCTTGATAATAAGCCCAATCGGGCTTTTGAGCGCATGGCGATAAGGCCAAGCGCTTATTTCAGGGTTCACAAAAATATAAGACGGGGTCTTATTTTCGGGTAGTCCAACATTTTTTGAAGTCATAAAATCAGGCAGTAATCACTTAACGACCGCTTTTCTTAACAACAGAAATTCTGGTGGTCTCAATTGTGATCGTAAGTTAAGGACTACCTGTACTGGGGAGAGAATTGTATAGTGAAAAATAAAACATTCCTCGGCCCCTTGATCATCTCATTGGCTTATTTATTTATTTATATTCCACCTTTATTATGTTTACAAATAAATCAAGGTGGTGAATTTCTCCAACACATCTTCCTCCTCCTATTTTCTCCACAAAAAATTGAAATGTTTTAAATTATGGGCCAAATTTCATTTATGAAACAAAGCTTGACAATTTAATTATTTTTAAAATTATTTTAACTTTTGTGTACAAATGTTTTTATTTTTAACTGTTCACCGCCCTGAGTCCGAAAGGAGAAGGGCGGTATACAAATCTAATAAAAGATAAAGAAAAAAGATAAAAGAAAAAAGCCCTGTGAGGTGGGTTGGGCTGAGGGAGAGTGACTTGCCCAAAGTCATCCAGCATAGCTTTCCTGGCTAAGGCGGGGTTAGAATTCACCATCTCCCGGTGATTGGCCCAAAGTCATCCAGCTGACTTTCATGCCTAAGGCGGGATTAGAACTCATAGTCTCCTAATGATTGGCTCAGAGTCACCCAGCAGGTTTTCATGCCTAAGGTGGAACTAGAACTCAACACCAACTCTTGTTGATGGGCTCAAAGTCTTAACCACTAGACCAGTGGCCTCCAACCTTTTGGGCATCAGGGACAGGTTCTGTGGAGAAAGTTTTTTCCGTGGCCCGGAGGGGGCGTGGTTTCACGTGCTTTCTGATTCCCAGATGGGGCTTTGCTTCTTTACGCGGCCTGGTTGCTTGCATACCGCGGCCCGGTGTTGATTCACGGACCTGGGGTTGGGGACCCCTGCACTAGACCAAACTGCAATAGTTCACATTCTTCGAAGTATATTTCTTCTCTCACTTCACCATAGGTATAATTACAGTAACGTTGAAATGAGTTCAAATCCAAATTTTAAATCATCACCGTTAAAAACCTGCTCAAAAGCATGTTTTTTTTTTTAAAAAAGGCCCTTTTTAAAAGCAAGATTTTAAATTCCTATCATCATTCAAGCCTACTCAGAAACAAGGCCTCCTTGGGTTCATGGAGATCTCAGTCTAGCTTTAGGTCAGGAGTCTGCAACCTTAAATACTCAAAAGAGCTACTTGGACCCGTTTCCCACAGAAAAGAAAACACCGGGAGCCACAAAACCTGGGTGGGTGTGGCCAACTCGATGTCACTCACTTCCACCAGTCACATGACACCCCTCCTGAGCCACGCCTACCCAGCAGTCATTAGGGCAGAGAACCAGTTGTTAAAAAACACCGGGAACCACAACATCATTTTGACATCTCTCTCTTTCCCCTCTCTCCCTCCCACCCTCCCCCCCTCTCTCTCTGTATCTCTCTACATCTCTCTTTCTCTCTCTCTCCCCCTCTCTCTGTATCTCTCTGTCTCTGCTCTGGCCGCTTCTCCACCCCCCACTGTCACCCTTACCTTCTCAAGCCAGGCGTGACTGGGAGGGGAGGGTGAGGGGCGGGGCCAACCGTGGTGGGATCACCTGACAGGGAGCCACAACAGAGGGCCCAAAGAGCCACATGCGGCTCCGGAGCCGCAGGTTGCTGACCCCTGCTTTAGGTTAATCAAATATTTATTTAATGTCGTTTGTTGTATAAATGCTGCTGGTGAATAATCCTTCAGTGCTGTCTTAAAAATTTCAGCATCGGATGCCCTTTGTCCTTTGATGAAATGGAGTAAAAGGATTTCTGGTTATTCCTGGGCTCCCTTTTATTCCCTGCACTCAATTCTGTGTTAACGCAAAAATGCTTTCTGTTCTTCCGTTCTCGGCTCTGACTCCCGTCGACAGCTCTTCATGTGTCTGGTGTGGATTGTGCTCCAAATTATTGTGATGACGATGTACTACGACATACAGCCACCGACTCAGCCTGCAAGGGTGCCGCAGGATGCCTTGGAAGAGGAGCAGAAGCCACTGATAGGGCATGAGGGCGGCCAAGAAGAGGCCACGGGAAGAAGCTGCTACGGCAGCACCCCTGTGGCACTTCCGCAATCTTCCCTCGGTGATGAATGCCGATATGTGCCCAACGGACACTTGGCAGATGAAGAATTGGCTGAAGAAGACAAGAACCCCTTCCATCAGTTTAGCTCTGTGAGAGGTGAGGAGACCCTCGTTGTGGCAGGAACAGGCGGTGTCATAGTTGCCCAGGCTGTGGGCTGCACGTGGTCCCTTTTTAGAATGTAGAACATAGAATAACGGTTGAAAGGGATCTTGGAGGTCTTCTAGTCCAACCCACTGCTCAAACAGTAGACTCTACATCGGGACAAATGGTTGTCCAATCTCTTCTTAGAAACCTCCAGTGATGGAGCACCACGACTTCTGAAGGCAACTTCTGTTCCATGGATTAATTTTTTTCTCACTTTCAAGAAATTTCTACTTAGTTCTAACATGTATCTCCCCTTGATAAGTTTCCATCCATTGCTTCTTGTCTTGCCTTCAGGTGTTTTGGAGAATAGGTTGACCTCCCTCTTCTTTGTGGCGGCCCCTCAAGTATCAGAAGACTGCTATCTTGTCACCCCTAGTCCTTCTCTTTGTTACAATAGACCTACTTAGTTCTGTTCTGTTCCCGTCTCACACACGCACCCCCACAGACAGTCAATAGTGAACTAAACCAGCCGACAAAGGTTTCTCTAAGAGCAGAATTGGCAGCAACCCAGTGGCTGCCTGCCAAGAGTCTTTTACTTACGAAGGGAGTGTTTTTCAAAGCCAACACACAACAGATGAGAGAATATTCAAAAAGTCCAGCAATGCAGAGAGGTTTGTTCAATATCAGTTTTTGCTCGTCACAGAGCTTGAATGGCCACCACACCCCCTTTTATACCCTGTGGGGTATGGTCCAGTGACTCAGCCTAATCCCTGGCACGCCTCTTCCTCTGCTGCGCGCGCTTATCTCTGCGACGCTGTCGAGGGTCCAGCCAAGACTCATCATCATCATCATTACTGTCCACCTGTGGCTGTGTGGAAGTGCTTGGCCCCGGGCCTATCTCTTGGCCTTCGGAGGACACCGGAGGCATTGCCAGAGAGGAGGGTCCTGGAGAGGGAGGCCTTGCCAACTCCTCTCCTTCACTCTCGGAGTCCTCTCCTGCTGATAACATAGGCTCGGTGATCGGAGCCACAACAAGTTCCTCGTACGTTTTAGCCTCTGGTCCGGTAATCATCTTCGTAGATCTTCTCTGCACCCCTTTTTTGCGACCCACAGAGTAGGAGTAAGGGGACTTTTGACCTTTTTTTGTTTTTAGACGTTTAAAAAGCGGTAAAATGGATGCACGAGCGTTGCCAAGATGAAATCTACCCATTGTAGAAAGTTTCTGAAAATTCCCTTTACGATTGGACTAATTAGTCTAATCTTGATGGTAAGGGATAAAGCATCCATATTACTCCTTAAATCAACCATTAGCCCACCAGAAAGGACATCCGTTTTGGTCCTGTGCATTTCCTGTGTCATTAGTGATATCTCTAGCCATGGTGGCTCCTTGTAAATAACTCTTGTGTGGCATAATCCCCCAACTCAGCGGTGAAATGTAAAATTTGTTATTACCGGCATGGCTTGGGGGGTGGGGGGTAATGTGACTGAGTGGGCATGGCCAACTTTTTTTTTTTTAACTTTTAAAACCATTTTTTCTACAACCTCTTCAGCCAAAGAGGTTGTAAAAAAAATGCTTTTAAAACCCTCCGACGATCCCAGCTGAGTTGCCTATCGTCACCGCTACCGGCTCGGTGGAACCAGGCCGAACTGGGAGGAACCCACCACTGACTTCAACTCCCAGAATTCTCCAGCCAGCAGAGCTGGGAGTTGGAAGTCCACAAGTCTTAAAGCTGCCAAGTTTGGGGATCCCTGTTACAGATTAACCAGATAAACAGAGTTTGCACATCGCCGTAAACTTTAGAACTCTCTAACAGAGTTCATAACCAGGATCTTTTGTTTGCCTGATTCAGAGGGTTGTGTGAACCCAACCTTGAACTTTGCCAAGTAGAGCTTTCAAAAGTAAGGCACAGAGGGACGGTTTTATGACTAATCCTTCATTTCTTTATTTTCACACACACACACACACACACACACACACACACACACACACACACACGAGTAAAAAGGGCCTCCTGCCTCCTCAGCCTCAGTAAGGCTCTTCCCGACTTGATGGTGGTTTGTGTTTTCATTTCAGAATATTTGCGGGAGGAAGTGGTGGTTCTCCTCACCGCCCAGTTCATTACTCTCTTCAATCAAACGGCGTTGGAGGTAGGTAGGCCCTAAATTGTGCATCGACCCCGGGCTCGTTGGGGAGCTCTGAAGCAGAGAGTGGGAGACTTAATGTTACGATATTTAAATCCAGTAGCTGGAACGGTGGGGTTGTGCGGTGAGCCAGAATTCTGGGAATTGAAGTTCACGCATCTGAAAAGTTCTCAAAGTTGGACACCCCGATCTAGAATCTCCTTTCCAATTTTTCCAATTTATTTATTCCTTCTCCCTTTTCCCCCCACACAATAGCAACCCTGTAAAATGGCTTAGATTGGAGCGATTAGCCCAGGGGTCTGCAACTTTAAATACTCAAAGAGCCATTTGGACCCGTTTCCCACAGAAAAGAAAACACCGGGAGCCACCAAACCTAGGTGGGCATGGTTGGCTGAGGAATTCTGGGAATTGGAGTCCACAAGTCTTAAAATGGCCAAGCATGGCTGGCTAGGGAATTCTGGGAGTTGAAGTCCACAAGTCTTAAAATGGCCAAGCATGGTTGGCTGAGGAATTCTGGGAATTGGAGTCCACAAGTCTTAAAATGGCCAAGCATGATTGGACACCCCTGATACAGACCATACTTCTCTACCTTGGGGTCCCCCAGACCAAGTTCCTTCTTCCTCATTTGGAAGACTTGGAAGTTGAAATGTTGAGAATCAAAACCAGGAGTTTAATGTATTGAAAGTTGCTGCTTGTAGCGTTGGAGGCCATTCTAAGAATAGGTAAACCACCTGAAGCTTCTATTGATTTTCCTCTACAGACTATGGTGACTCCAATTACACAGAAGTATTTGAACTTTGGAGAACTGGAGAACAGCATCATGTATTTCCTGTGTGGTGTGGAGGTAAGGGTGAAAAGAGGTGACACTGTAACTGAGCAGTATGTGTTTGTTATAGGAGATTTTGCTCGCTGTACCACTTTAATAAGGTAGAGTGTCGGTCTGACCAGGTAAAGCAGGTAGGAATCGTGGCTGGATGAGCTGATTCTACTTTATTGCAAAGCTACATTAATAGCATTATGGGGAATGCCATACATTATGGCAAATTTAGACAGCATGCTAAAAAGCAGAGACATCACCCTGCCAACAAAAGTGCGTATAGTCAAGGCGATGGTTTTCCCAGTTGCGATGTATGGCTGTGAAAGCTAGACCATAAGAAAGCCTGAGCGCCAAAGAATTGAGGCCTTTGAACTCTGGTGCTGGAGGAGACTCCTGCGAGTCCCTTAGACTGCAAGGCGATCAAACCGGTCAGTCCTAGAGAAGATCAACCCTGACTGCTCTTTAGAAGGCCAGATCCTGAAGAGGAAACTCAAATCCTTTGGCCACCTAATGAGAAGGAAGGACTCGCTGGAGAAGAGCCTAATGCTGGGAAAGATTGAGGGCAAAAGAAGAAGGGGGCGGCAGAGAACGAGGTGGCTGGATGGAGTCACTGAAGCAGTTGGCGTGAGCTTAAATGGACTCCAGGGGATGGTAGAGGACAGGAAGGCCTGGAGGAACGTTGTCCATGGGGTTGTGATGGGTCGGACACGACTTCGCAGTTAACAACAACAACAACAACATTAATAGAATCTTAATAGCAGAAATTTTGAGTAGTTTGGAGAACCGGCAAATACTACCTCTGGCTGGCCCCAGAGTGGGGAGGGAATGGAGATTTTGCAATATCCTTCCCCTGCCATGCCCACCAAGCCACGCTCACAGAACCGGTAGGGAAAAATTTTGGATTTCACCCTTGGGAAGGTCTCTTCCGACCCTCTTGCCCTGCCTATTTCAGGTAGTCCTCGACCTACAGCCATTCATTCAGTGACTCTCTGAAGTTACTGGTTCATATTTATGACGGTTGCAGTGTCCTGGGGTGACGTGATCGCTTTTTGCGACCTTCTGACAAACAAAGTCAGTGGGGAAGCCAGATTTACTCAACAACCGTGTCCCAGATGTGTTTTTTCAAAAGGCAACTGGACTTTTGTTTTTTCCTTCGAAGATGTTTCACTCGTCATCCGAAAAGCTTCTTCAGAACTGAAGTCAGAACTGAAGAAGCTTCTTGGATGAGAAGCAAAAGGTCTTCAAGGCGCAAAACAAAGAAAAAGCACCTTTGAGAAAATCACGACTTGGATAATTGAGAATCTCCATGGACACTTAACTGTATTACTGTACTGATTCATTTAATAACCGTGGCAAGAAGCATTATAAAACGGAGCAAAACTCACCACTGTCAGAGTGTGCACAGGTCTGTCCTGTGTATCAACCCAGGAACAAGTACAGCCAATAGTGGTTTGTATCAGTTAGTGGTTTTTATGTACAATAGGAATATAGGAATAATATACACACACACACACACACGTGCTACAAGCAGTATCCCAACAATTACAGCAAGGAAGAAACTTGATGAACCAACCAACACTACAGCAGGGCCTCCTCTTATTACACAGGCTCTTAAAGGGATAACAGCCAAAGACCCTGCTGACTCATTCCCCTCGTTGCATCAGCTGGTCAGCTCTTAAATTAACACCTTGACAGTTTTACTTAACAAGGTAAGTATTGGGCTCACTTGTGGTCATAAGTCAAGGACTACCTGTATCCATCTTTGAGCTATGCTGCTTCTTATCTGGCTGTTCGCTTGGCAGCGCCTCTTCTGCCAGGTCTGGGTGATGCTAATTTTGCTCTGCCCTGCCTCTGGTAAGCAGGTTCTTAAATAAGAATGTTCTTTCTGCGCCAACTCAGGAAGTTCAAACTGCCTAAGGAGCTGCTGATTCAGTTCTACAGAGGAATTATTGAGTCTGTTATCTGCACCTCCATAACTGCCTGGTTTGGCTCTGCAACCCAACAAGACAGACACAGACTTCAGAGGATCATTAGAACTGCTGAAAAAACAATTACTACCAACCTGCCTTCCATTGAGAACCTGTATACTGCACGAGCCAAAAAGAGGGCTGTGAAAATATTTACAGACCCCTCGCATCCTGGACGCTATAGAGCACTGCATACCAAGACAACTAGACACAAAAACAGTTTTTTTCCCAAACGCCATCACTCTGCTGTATAAATAATTCCCTCAACACTGTCAAACTATTCACTAAGGCTGCATTACTATTTCTATTAATCTTCCCATCGATCCTTTCACCTATCTCCTCCCACTTATGACTGCACGACTGTAATTTTGTTGCTTGTATTCTTAAGATTGATATTGATATTGGTTGTTTCCTGATTGCTTATTTGTACCCTTTGACAATCATTAAGTGTTGTTCCTTACGATTCTTGACGAACGTATCTTTTCTTTTTATGTACACTGAGAGCGTATGCACCAAAGACAAATTCCTTATGTGTCCAATCACACTTGGCCATAAAAAATTCCGTTCCGTTCCGTTCCATTCTCTATTCTATTCTATTCTATTCTATTCTATTCTATTCTATTCTATTCTTCTCCCAGGGTCTCTCTCACATGCCATTACATGCAGACAGGAGCTGAGTCCTCACTGCCAGGTCTTCCAATGTACCTCTTCCACATCAAACCTAAAGCAATGCATAATCCTTGCCCTTTATCTCCCTCTCTTAAAAGAGCCATCTCTAGGCGAGACGGGTGACAAACAAGTCCAATAAGTAAAATCAGATTTTGACTGTTGATAGACGGCAGTTATTAAGAATAACTAAAAATGGTTTGGGAAGAGACATTTTTAATGTAGCTAATGGGCGATGCTAATTTTGCTCTGCCCTGCCTCTGGTAAGCGGGTTCTTAAATAAGATAGGAACCTGGCAAACCTTTCGAGAAAGTGGGGCTGCGAGTCTGTAGTATAAATAATAATCTGTTTTAGGGTCTCTCTGCCTCTCCTTCCCTCCCTCCAGTTGATATTTCTGTGGTTCAAAAATGAAGGCCTTGGCCACCAGTTAAATTTCAGTGTCCATCTCATGATTTAGGCCCGTGATGGCGAACCTGTGGCACGCATGCCCAAAGTGGCACGCGGAGCCATATCGCCTGGTGTGCACGGCGTTGTCCATTCCTCTTCCAGGTTTCTGGCACGCATGCGCACCCGACAATCAGCTGACCTTTGTGTGTGCGGCAGTGTTGGAAACCGGAGGAGCTGGTCTTCCATTTTCCGGCCTGAGCATGCGCGCCAACCAGCTGATCGGTGTGTGCACATTCGCGGCAGTAACTGGAAGACTTGCTGGCCGGTGCGCATGCGCACGCATGCCGGAAACCGGAAGTACCTCATCCAGCACGCGCATGCCCCCCTGGGCAGCTCCTCTTCCTGGTTGCGGCCCTGAAGAGTGTGCACACGTGTGTAAGTGCTCCCTTACACACACGGTAAGTGCCATCACTGAATTAGGCTGTGTTCACACAATACGGTTAAGCCATTCCACAGAATTAGTCTAAATTTTATGAGTCTGCTTAATCCGTTGCCACATAAATTGAATGGGGGGAGGGAAGGAGGGAGGGTTTCAGATTTGACGAATAAAACAAATTAACCTAATGGGATGTGTTTGCATGACAAGCTGTGTCATACACACAAAACCCCACCATCTAACTATTTATATCGGTATATAAATTGGAAATAAATAAATAATAATAAATAACTAAAGTTCTTTGGTTAGTGGACAAGGAGAGCCAGTCAGAGGCAAGCCCCTCCTTTTGAACGCAGAGAGATTCTGGAGTAATCTCTGATCTCTTTGATTGACAACGTGGAAGCATGCTATGAGGGGGCTATGACAATTCGCCACAGCCAACTTGCCATGAGACAACTTGTTTTAGGACAAGAGTCAAACTAGCATTAAATAAATCATGGCATAGAATCATTAAAAAAAAAGGATGCAAAAGGATGGACAGAATGAAATGTGAAAGACATTAATTAAAATATTTGTTTTAAATAATTATGGTATGTTTCGGAGTATAAGACCCTCTGGACTATAAGACGATCCTACCCTTTTGGGGGAGGAAAAGAAGAAAAAAAAATTCTGCCTCCCAGCAATTTGCCTCCTTGCAGTAAACAGCAAACAGCCTGTTTCAGTTTCAGTTTCAGCACAGCCTGATTAGCATGAGAAAAATAAAAATCTGCCTCTGCTTCCCAGCAGTTGGCCTCCTTGTAGCAAACAGCGGAGGCTGAAAATGGGGCGCGCGGAGGCGGCAATAGGCAATGGCAATCCCCGCAGCCTGAAACAGCTGATGGTCGGGAGGCGGATCCAACCGACAATCAGCTGCTTGTGCTAATCAGGCTGTGCTGAAGCTGAAACTGAAATGGGCTGTTTGCTGCAAGGAGGCAAATTGCTGGGAGGCAGAGGCCAAAGGGTGGGGGCCAGCGGGTGGGCGGGGCTACATTCGGTGTATAAGACGCACCCAAATTTTCACCCTCTTTTGAGGGTGAAAATACGGTAAATTGAATTATTAAATTGTTCCATCGCGAATTGTCCTGCGGTTTGTCCTGCGCTACGGCGAGTTGATGGCAGCGAGTTCTCCCAGTCCTTGCTATGAGAGTCACTGCACACACAGGGTCCGATTACATGGTTATTGTGCCTCTTCTTTTTCAGGTCATCGCTGGCTTCTTCCTGGTGCGTTTTCTCAGCGCCCGGCTATCGGATCGATTCATCTTGCTCCTAGGTCTGGTCATCTGCAACGTAGCCTGCGTCTGGTGCCTGCTGTTCCTGGCACACCCCCAGGGTAATGACGTTGGACGGCTGGAGAAGAGCGGGAAAGTGTCTCTGCTCCCATCTTCTCAGTTCCTGACCTCTTGATGCCCTGGAGATGTAGAGTTCTAGTAGAAAATTTATTTGTAGCTCAGGGTTGAATCGTGAGGCGCTTGGTGCTGACTGAACTTGATTGTTTTCTTGAGGGTGTTTCATTATTCAATGAGGTGAACATCATCAGTGCTAGCAAGCAAATGTCTATGGAGAGTCTTAGTCATTTACCTCAGGGGTCTCCAATTTTGGCAACTTTAAGACTTGTGGACTTCAACTCCCAGAGTTCCTCAGCCAGCTCTGCCGTAGCCAACTAACACTTGGAAGTTTTCTTAGCAGGTTTTCCTCTCCGTATATTTGCATGGATCATGATGAAACCCCGTAGCACATCTTGACCCACCAAAGAGCTACCATATTTTTCGGAGTATAAAATACACCTTAGATTTTGGGGAGGAAAATAAGAAAAAAGCTGATTGGCAGGTGGATCGGCCTCCTGGAATACCCCCAATCAGCTGTTCCCAGAGATGAATTTTAGCAACAGGTTCCTTAGTTGTGAGCTCTGTGCCTTGCTTTTTTTTCTGCCTCTGAAACTTCTGAAACTCTGTTTCAGAAAAAACTTTCTTTTCTTGACTCTGAAAGCCTCCGAAACAGAGCTTCAGAAAAAAAAGCCTCTGAAACTCTGTTTCTGAGGCTTTTTTTTCTGAAGCTCTGTTTGGGGGCTTCTTTTCTGAAGCTTCATTTCTGATGCTTTTTTCAGCCTCTGGAACCTCGTTTGAGAAACTGGATGGGGCTACATTCGGAGTATAAGACACACCCAGATTTTCACCCTCTTTTTTGGAGAGAAAAGGTGTGTCTTACACTCCAAAAAATATGGTAAGTTAGGATGGCCAAGTTGAAGGTGGACGTCTAGGTGAGGGAACCAGCTTTGAGCGAGGGTGTAATTTACACTGGTATGATCTGCTGTGAACTTTCTCCTTACCTTGTTTTGCATGTCTCCGTCCCTCACTCAGGTACCTTTGCTGTCCTCCTCACGGAGCTGGTCGTAGGTGTCTTTTTGCAGGTCTTGGGCCTGCCCTTCGTGGCTGTCTCCCAGGTATCGCTCTTTTCTAAAGTCACAGCAGAGAGAACACAAGGTAAGCAGAGGTGGGCTTCAAAAATTTTAGCAAGGGGTTCTCTGCCCGGTTGCTGGGTGGGCGTGGCCATGGTGGGCGTGGCCTAGTCGGCCTCCTGCATCACTGGCTTCAAGTCACTCACGCCCTTGCCACCTCCCGACTGGATTACTGCAATGCTCTCTACATGGGGCTCCCCTTGAAAAGCACCCAGAGGCTCCAACTGGTCCAGAATGCGGCCGCGCAGGTGGTTATGGGCTCAACTCATTGTGCCCACGTGACACCCCTCCTGCACGAGCTGCACTGGCTCCCAGTGGTCTTCTAGGTGCGATTCAAGGTGTTGGTTACCATCTTCAAAGCGCTCCATGGCATTGGACCTGGGTACCTTCGAGACCGTCTTCTGCCACCAGTAGCCTCCCACTGGCCAGTCCGCTCCCACAGAGAGGGTCTCCTCAGGGTGCCATCGGCCAAATTATGTCGGCTGGCGTCACCCAGGGGGAGGGCCTTCTCTGTGGGAGCCCCTGCCCTTTGGAATGAACTGCCCCCAGAAATGCGTAAGATCTCCGACCTCCGTGTATTTCGCTGTGCCCTCAAAACTTGGTTGTTCCGCCAGGCCGGGCTATCGATGTAAAGATTTTAATTGGTTTTAAATGTGGGATTTTAAATTTGGGGGTTTTATAATTGAGCCAATTATTTAATAATTTTAATTATTTTTAAATTTTGTCTGTCTTTGTGCTTTTAATCAGGCTGTACACCGCCCTGAGTCCTTTGGGAGAAGGGCGGTATAGAATTATTATTATTATTATTATTATTATTATTATTATTATTATTATTATTATTATTTTCTTTTAATGACCCCATAATCCCTTGCGGGATGGAGTCTGAGCAACTGAATGGAGCTGAGGGTTTACTGGCCAAATGCTCTTCCTGTCGCCAAGGCGGAGTTTTTTTTTTCCAAGTAGATATAGTTTCATTGTGTCCAGAGAGAGAAATATCTGCCTCTACCTAGGATTGAACTCACAGCCTCCTGATTGTGAGGCGAGAGCTCCACCTCTGGGCCACCGCACCACTCTTGTGAGAGCCTTAATAGAGCAGGATTTATTTCTCTCTCGTTCTTTCTTCTTTTGGCAGGTTTCAGTCAGGGTCTCCGTCGCTCCGTTGGGGGAATTGCCACCATCCTGGGGCCTTTGTGGGCTGGAGGATTGACGGATAATCTGTACATCATGCTAGGTGTGATGATGGGGCTCCTCAGCCTCTTGATGGTGAGTGTGTGAAGGCCAGTTTTCCTTTCTCTTTCTTCAGCCGGAGCGTCCCGTGTTAAAAGTGTCATTCTGAGATCCCAGATTTCTCTCTTCTGAAGAGAGGATCTTCCTGCTGTGGGGGGAAAAAAATAGAAAAATAAAATCTGAGGATCACAGAAAGCAACCAAGTATTTTCATGACCGTTTTCAGACAATTGCTGGAACCGAAGAGTTCTTAAGAGGCAAAGCCACGGTGGCGCAGTGGTTAGAGCTGTTGTGACCCAGGCCCAAGTAGTTAGTGTTAAATACAAGCAGTTCGAAAACAGACTTTATTAGAACAGCTGAGAATTAACACATTCTCAGCGTAGTCCAAACTAAATTAAAGCAAATTCTTCAAAACACCATTGCTCAGTTTATCACCGACCTTGGGACACTTAGGCAAACTGCCAAAGGCTTTTCTTGGCAAAAGTTCAGAAGTAGAAGACACCGACAAGAAATGAATACAGTGAAACAAGAACCAATTCTCTCAACGGTTGTTTTCCGGCAAAGGGGCCAAGAGCTGTTGCTGGTCTTTTAAGCCTTATGGGAGGGGCCAATCATCTCTTGGCCTTACTCCTGAGTTGTCCTCTCTGCTTTATCTGCTTCTGGCAGCTCTTCTCATACGTGCACTAGGAACAAGCTCCTTCTGTTCCTCTGTCTCTCTACTGTTTGACTCTGGGGGCTCCGGAGTCTGCGCATCACTCCCAGATGGCCCTGGACCCATCTCTGCCTCCGATGCAGAGCCCTCATCCGGGCCTTCCCCAGCCTCCAGGACTGGCCCATGTTCCTCCCCAGCCTCCTCACTGTCCGACTCCGCTGCCAGCTCCGCAGGCTGCTGGTGGACCACAACACAGTTACTGTTATTTTTCTTTCCCCTGCAGGTCATGGTGGGGCTGTCCTACAAATATCTGGTCGAGATCCCGAGTCCGTACCCCTTGCCACGAACAACCCAGGAGGAGTCCAACTCATGAGGATCCAATGAGTTGTCCTTGGAGGGATGGAGAAGCTCATATCCCCCCACCCCCAGGTGAAGGAACTGCCAGCCAGCTGGCCATGCCAAGGGGAACCACTTTGGCTTTCAAATTCCCGACTCAGCAACATCAGGAGAAGCCAGTAGAGATGGAGGAGTCGGATGGAATTTGTTTTGGTCTCTTCTTTCCACCAGAATATTTCTTTTCTTTTATTCCACCCCCCCTACGAACCCAGCTTTCTTTCTTTGGGCTGCCGAAAAGGAAAAAAATAGGGTGCTAACCCTTCAGTTGAGCGAAGATCCAATGCAAATCTCATGTCCCCGTTTTGCAGAAGAGAACCAACGAGCTCCTTGGTGAATCTGAAATCCTTCTACGAAAAAAAAAAAAAAAGAGAAGACACGCCGGCCTTTATTTAATCTTTACTTTCTTAATAATTTATTATGACTTTTGTGACCCACCCGTTATTTTACTGCTGCTGCTATCCGCTGCTGTTTTCACAATTCCGACCTTGATGATTGTTAAACTGCACTGGGAGGGCTGGATGTTTTTATTTATTAAAAGTATTTCCACTCTGTCCACCTTTGGGCTGAAGACTGAATAGAACCTAGAACAAGGAATAATAAGAGTTGGACGGGCCCTCGGAGGTCTTCTAGTCCACCCCGTTGCTTGAGCAGGAGACCCTGTACCAGTCATGGCAAACCTTTTTGCCATCGCGGGCCAAAAGCGGGAGGAGTGGGGGGGTCGTGCACGCGCATGGCCACACCCATAATTCAATGCGCCCCGCCCCCCATGCAAACCCCGCTTTGGCATGCAATGGCACAGTAGGCCTGTTTTTCACCCTCCCCAGGCTCCAGAGGCTTTCTAGGCGCCTGGGGAGGGCGAAAACAGCCTTCCCCACCCCCTTGGAGGCTGGAAATGGCCCATTTGCTGACTTCTGGTGGGACCCAGAAAGGCTCTGGAACCTGGGGAATGAAAAACGGGCCTTCCCCACCCCCTCTGGAGGCCGGAAACAGCCTTTTTCCCGACTTCCAGTGGGCCCGGAAGGCCCGAAAATCAGCTGGCCGGCACGCATGTTAAGGATATTGTTGTGTTAACCAACCAGCAGAGTAAGTGCACAGAGAAACGGTACTGAGAGCAATGAATACAATACATACAAACTGGTTTAACAAAGCTTTTCTTTGTAGTGAAAAACAATTGCATAGTCTTTTAGTCAATCCAAGTCTTTAGCCATTCAAATCAGTCCGAAGTTACAGATATCTTCTTACCAGACAAACAGCAGTTGGTAATAAACAGCAATTCAACGCTGGTAACAAATCATGATGGTAGCAGATCCATCCACGTCTTCACACACGACAGTAACAGTTCCAATCAACAGTTTCAGTCAAGCAGCAAGTCAAGCAATGATGAGAGCAGGTCCAACAATGAATATAGCTCGGCTTTCTCCTTATATACAGTTTACACTAGTAATTATCCACTTAAGATAAGTGAAGTCAGCAGTGCAATGACAACAGTACAGTCAGCATTCAGTCAGCAGTCATTAGCCATTACAATGACTCAGCAGTACAATTACTCAGCATTACATCTTAGAGTTAAAGAATACATTTAAAGTGATAGCACACATATATTGCCTGGACAACTTGTTAGACTTACACCATATCCTAACAACGCACATGTGCGCCGGAGCTGAACTAGGGCAATGCTCATGTGCCCACCAATATGGCTCCATGTGCCACCTGTGGTACGCGTGCCATAGGTTCGCCATCACGGCCCTATACCATTTCAGACAAATCCAGTCTCTTTTTGAAAACTTCCAGTGATGAAGCACCCACAACTTCTGGAGGAAAGTTGTTCCATTGGTTGATTGCTCTCACCATTGGGAAGTGTCTCCTTAGTTCCAGGTTGCTCCTCTCCTTGATTAGTTTCCATCCATTGTTTCTTGTTTTGCCTTCTGGTACTTTGGAAAATAGGTTGACCCCCCCACGTTTTTATAGGAGGCCCTCCAATATCGGAATAGTGCTACCATGACATCCCTAATCCTTCTTTTCATTAGACTACTAGCCAAAGCCTATTCCTGCAACCGTTCATCGTACGTTTTAGCCTCCAGCCCTCTAATCATCTTTGTTGCTCTTCTCTGCACTCTTTTCAGAGTCTCAATATCTTTTTTATATTGTGGCGACCAAAACTGGATGCAGCATTCCAAGCACGGCTTTACTAAGGCTTTGTAAAGTGGTACTAGTACTGTATTTTTCGGAGTATAAGATGCACTGGAGTATAAGACGCACCTTAGTTTTTGGGGAGGAAAATAAGAAAAAAGCTGATTGGTGGGTGGATCGGCCTCCCGGAATACCCCCAATCAGCTGTTCCCAGAGGTGAATTTTAGCAACAGGTTCCTTGGTTGTGAGCTCTGTGCCTTGCTTTTTTTTCTGCCTCTGAAAGCCTCCGAAACAGAGCTTCAGAAAAAAAGGCTTTTTTTTTCTGAAGCTCTGTTTGGAGGCTTTTTTTCTGAAGCTCTGTTTGGAGGCTTTTTTTCTGAAGCTCTGTTTGGGGGCTTCTTTTCTGAAGCTCTGTTTGGAGACTTTTTTTCTGAAGCTCTGTTTGGAGGCTTTTTTTCTGAAGCTCTGTTTGGGGGCTTCTTTTCTGAAGCTTCTTTTCTGATGCTTTTTTTAGCCTCTGAAACCTCCATTTGAGAAGCTGGGTGGGGCTACATTCGGAGTATAAGACGCACCCAGATTTTCACCCTCTTTTTTGGGGGGGGGGAAGTTGCGTCTTATACTCCGAAAAATACGGTACTTCACATGATCTTGATTCTCTCCCTTCTGATAATGCAGCCTAGGATTGTGTTGGCTTTTTGGGATGCTGCCGCACACTGTTGGCTCATATTTAAGGGATAGTTCACCAGGATTCCAAGATCCCTCTCTCCCAATTATTGGCATTAAGCCAAGTTTCACTTGGGTTTTTCTTTTGTTTGTTTTTAAGTTGGTTGGGGAAAAAGACTGGAATGAGAAAAATCCCACAACAGGTCTAGAAGGAGAGTTTGTGGAATCTGAAGGACCAGCTGGTTGGTGCCCCGGAACTTGGAAGAGTAACGGGCAACAGCCCGTGTGCCCGGAGAGATGGTTCTGTGTGCCACTTCCACCACATGTGCCATAGGTTCGTCATCACGGGTCTAGACATTCATCAAACAAATAACAGTACTGGGAAACCAAATTAGTAAGTGTGGGAAAGCTTCAGAGAGGCTCAGGATATCATAAAGACCCACCACCCCCTTCTCCAGAAATACCTCCAAAATGTGCAAACAGGAAAAAAAAAACACCCATTTGTGTGTTTAACATGACCCCCTGTATTGGTATGTGGAAATGACCTTGGAGACAAACATCGATGGGATATGAGGCAGCTCAGCCCATAGCAGGAATGGGGAATGGGATAGGCAACTCAGAAGGGACCCTCCCAAGTTTCTTCGGCTGCAAAGGCGACAGGGCAGAAATGTATTATTTGTGGAGTTTGCGATGGTTTCTGAGCTTGACTGCTTGCTTGCAAGATACTCCATTTCAGGGGTGAAATCCAGCAGGTTCTGACAGGTTCTGGAGATCCGGTAGTGGAAATTTTGAGCAGTTCGGAGAACCGGCAAATACCACCTCCGGCTGGCCCCAGAGTGGGGAGGGAATGGGTATTTTGCAATATCCTTCCCCCAGGAGTGGGGAGGGAATGGGGATTTTGCAGTATCCTTCCTCTGGAATGGGATGGGAATGGGTATTTTGCAGTATCCTTCCCCCAGGAGTGGGGTGAGAATGGGGATTTTGCAATATCCTTCCCCCAGGAGTGGGGAGGGAATGGATATTTTGCAGTATCCTTCCCCTGGAATGGGGAGGGAATGGGGATTTTGTAATATCCTTCCTCTGGAATGGGGAGGGAATGGGGATTTTGCAGTATCCTTCCTCTGGAATGGGATGGGAATGGGGATTTTGCAATATCCTTCCCCCAGGAGTGGGGTGGGAATGGAGATTTTGCAATATCCTTCCCCCACGAGTGGGGAGGGAATGGATATTTTGCAGTATCCTTCCCCTGGAATGGGGAGGGAATGGGGATTTTGCAATATCCTTCCCCCAGGAGTGAAGAGGGAATGGGGATTTTGCAGTATCCTTTCCATTTACCTGACTAGGTAACATCTGCAGGGAAACAACCAAGCTCAGAGAGAGCAAGGCACTGCACAAGTTCAATCCTGAGCCACACATCTTCTATTAGATATGTAGTTTTTCGGATTTGCAAGGTTCTGTGAACGTAACCTTGCAGATAAAGTAGAATTAGCTGATGTGGACGTGTTTCCTATTTGGACTTCTTCACACATAAACACATACACACACACAGTATGCCTGCAATGTTTTCCTCGAGGAATTCAAGACAGCTTACACGGGGGTTTCATTTTAACCTCCTAACCACCATCCTGTGAGATAGGCCAGGGGTTGGGGAAGAAAGGCAGACAGAGACTGGCTCAAAGCCTCCAAGGACTTTGGAGGGCTTCCTACGGTGATATGTGGGAATGGCCTTGGGAGATTGGGTAGGGAGGAAAGCTCCTGCTCAGGGAATGATCAGATAAGGTGAAGGAGCCCACAGCTGTATCCAGGTAGTCGTCGACTTACAACAGTACATTCGGTGACTGAAATTACAACAGCATTGAAAAAAGTGGCTTGTGACCTTTTTTCAACCTTAACAACCGTTGCAATAGAAGGTTTCAGTTCTGGGTCTTCCCAGTTATTAATCCCTATTAATCAACGCTCGTACAGTATATATAGCAGATGTACATGTGGCAATTGCTGCCAATTCTATAACCAGGGTGGATAAAAATCGATGATTTAAAAATAAAAAAAATCAGTTTTTTTATTTAAATCGATTTTTTTTTATTTTTATCAAATTTATTTTATGCTTTTGAAGAAAAAATCTAAAGATAGTGTTCTATTTAAGATACATTAATAATTTAGTTTATTCAGCATGAAACGGAGCTTGGTTGTGTAGCAACTAATTTTTAGTTGAGGAGGCTGTATATTCTGCAATATTGGGACTGTTGGTGAGTTAACAGCAGGTCAGAGGAGGAGCTGCTGTGGGACGGAGTTGACAGTTGCTCTTTAAAAAGTATGATTTAAATCAAGTTGATTTAAACCAAGCCTTTTTATTAGTGATTTAAATCGACTTGATTTAAATCGTGATTTAAATCGACTTGATTTAAATCGTGATTTAAATCGACTTGATTTAAATCGTGATTTAAATCGACTTGATTTAAATCGTGATTTAAATCGACGTGATTTAAATCCTGATTTAAATCGACGTGATTTAAATCCTGATTTAAATCCGACGTGATTTAAATCCTGATTTAAATCGACTGATTTAAATCAAATCAAACCCACCCTGCCTATAACTTAGGTGAACAATTCAAATAGAAGGGAGGTTTATCCGACCTACACGAAAAGGGACCGAGGGATCGTAGCTTCTCACAATGTGACAGGCCGATGAACGAGTGACGGTTGCCAGCAATTTGAGCGCAGGTCTTGACTTGTTCCCATGGAGGCGTTATTTCCAAATCT